GAGGTATTATTCCCTATTAACCTTCTCTTGCCGGACGACTTTCCAGAAGCTCTCTTCAAGTCCTAACGAGCTGCTTGTCTCCTGCTACCAGAACCACCCAGAGAGGAATGAAGTGACCTGACAAATATACTGCACTTTCTTGTTATCTTTGCTAAGTCTCTTGCATTTTTATATGGCACCTTAATAACCCCTCATTTCCATTACAAGTGCATGCTTTCCTTCTGCTTATCTGTATCTCTATACACTCCTCCATTCCTGCAGCCACACTGCCCCCGGCTACAACCTGGGGAGCTCTTCGGAGCTCAGTGGGGTCAGGACTGCTTAGTAATCGGAGGACAGTCCTATAACTTAGGTGGCAGGACGTGATTCACGCGATGGCGCTCTTCCATCTGCGTCAATATTGAACTCGGTGCCTTAAGTTAGGGGTAGGAGATGTAAACCTAGTGCCCTAATTTCGTGGAGTCATTAAGAGATAGGCTGCAACTTTCTCAAGAGACAAACTCCTAACCTCAGTGCCCGAGGCCAGATCTCAGTTTCTTTGCTCTGCCTGCCTACATTCCCCAGGTAGTTACGATCAGATACAATGCTATTTGCTTCCTGTTGTGTGCTGTTAAGTGGTGGCTGCACTCCACCCCAGAGGTGGCTGCATTTCAAAAGCAGGGGAGTGATTACAACGTATACAGGCTGTAAAAGGCATTGCGCTCTTTCTGGGAAGAGAGCCGAGTATAATAGGTGCTTCTTAAGACAAATCCTATCAATAGCCACCTGGAGCTGTAGGCTTTCAGGAAGGACTAGCAACCCTCAAGAGTTTAGGTAACAGATTTGGGATTTAGGATTGGGTGTCCTCCTGGAACTGCTTGCTCAGCTTCCAAGTCCTGAAAAATGCAGAAATTCTGCAGACCCTCTTGCTGTTGTCTGAAGCTCCCTGGGCTTTGGTGAGCTCTGCAACTGTATGCACAGAGAAAGATCTCTGTTCTAAGCTAATGGCTCCTGCTGAAGCCCAGATGGAATCCATGACCTGTGGACGCCAAGGCTACCCATCTTAAACCCATCTAGGAGAAGGTTTTCTGCGCAAACACTGTGCGTATAGGTGCTTTCTTTTCAGTCGTAGCATGGCAAGGCACAGGGGCTCTCCGTGGCACTTGCAAACATCTATTCAACACCTATAGCACCTTCCCAAAGAGCCAAAGGCCTAGATCAGGTCTCTCTTCCTGAGCAGAGAAAGGGATGATTCCCAAGAGATGAGAGCTAACCTACCCAGGCAATGTGCTTTAGCCACTACGTCTGTCAGACAGAAGGGAGAAAAAGAATTGTAGAATATCAGAATCACAGAATTGCAGAATCATAGAATGGTTTGGGTTGGAAAGAATCTTCAGATCATCCAGTTCTTAACCCCTTGCCATGGACAGGGACATTTCCCACTAGACCAGGTTGCTCAAGGCCCCATTCAACCTGGCCTTGAACACTTCAGGGATGGAGCATTCACAGTTTCCTTGGGCGACCTGTGCCGTGACCTCACCATTCTCACCATAAGAAGAATCATATTCTTCTCCTGTCCATGGTGTAGCAGTGCATCAAAAATCAGCTTCAGTAACTCAGTTTCATCAGGACCCAAATTAAATGCCTCTATGCAAACACATGTAGCATGGGGAATAAACAAGAGGAGACAGAAATGTGCACACGCCTGTAGGGCTGTGATTTTATTGGTATCACACGAAAGTGGTGGGATGGCTGCTGTTACTGGAGTGTTAGAATGGAAGGATACAAGCTCTTCAGGAAGGACTGGTAGGGGAGACAAGAAAGAGTCATGTCAGTGACCAGCTGAAGTTCATGGAGCTTTACCTGGGCATGGATGAGGAGCCAATGGACATTGAATGTCCTGTGCTGATGAACAAGGAGCTCCTGGAGAAACTCCAGCAAAAAAAAAGGAAGCTTACACAGTGTGGAAGCAAGGACAGGTAGCCTGAGAGGAATACAGAAAAAAATGTAAGAGCATCCAGGGTAGGAAAGGGTAGGAAAGCTGAAGACAGGATAGAATTAAATCTGGCCAGGGACATCAAGAGGAATGGGAAAAGATTCTATAAAAAGAAGATACATAAAAACAACTGAAGTCATCTACTTGGACTTGTGCAAAACATTTGACAATGTCCTACAAGACATCCCTTCTGTAAATTAGAGAGACATGGATTTGACAGACAGGCCACTTGGTGGATAAGGAACTGGCTGGATGGTCTCACTCAAATTGTTGCTGTCAGCAGCTCAACGTTCAAATAAAGATCAGTGACAAGAGGCATTCCTCAGGGGTTGGTGTTGGAACTGGCGATGTTCAACATCTTTGTGAATGACATGGACAGTGGAACTGAGCACCCTCAGCAAGTTTCCAATGACACCAAACTCTGTGGTGCAGTTGGCACACTGGAGGGAAGGGATGTCATCCGGAGAGACCTGGACACGCTGGAGAGGGGTGGCAGTGCCAGCATCATGGATTTCAACAAGGCCAAGTTCAATGTCCTACACTTGTGTTGGGGCAATCCTAAGCACAAACACTGGCTGGGGGAGACTGTATTGAGAGCAGCCTTGAGGAGAAGGACTTGGGGGTGTTGGTCAATATGGAGCTATTGGAGCAAATCCAGAGGAGACCACGAAGATGGTCCAAGGGCTGGAGCACCTCTGCAATGGGGACAGGCTGAGAGAGCTGGGCTTGTTCAGCCTGGAGAAGACAAGGCTCCAGGGAGACCTTACAGCATCTTCCAGTGCCTAAAAGGGCTGACAAGAAAGCTGGAGAAGGGCTTTTGACAATGGCCTGTAGGGACAGAACAAGGGGGAATGGCTTTAAAGGGAGATTTAGATGAGATGTGAGGAAGAAGTTCTTCCCTGTGAGGGTGGTGAGGCTCTGGCACAGGTTGCCCAGAGAAGCTGTGGCTGCCCCATCCCTGGCAGTGTTCAAGGCCAGGTTGGATGTAGCTTGGGGCAACCTGGTCTAGTGGAAGGTGACCCTGCCTGTGGCAGGGGGTTGGAACTGGGTGATCGTTAAGGTCTCTTCCAACCCAAACCATTCTATGATTCTATTAAAAGGTTCAAGATTACTTAAACCACAATAAGGGGAGATGGAAGGCATTCTCAGCTGTTATCTCATCAGTCACTATACCCTCTACCTACCTACCAGAGGGAAATGGCATTCATCCCACTAGCTTATCTGACTGGCTTCTATAAGCCTTCACAGACCGCAGGGGTGGTCATTAATGTCCTTGAAGACATCATGCAAAAATCCCCACCTCAGGAGTTGGTTTCTGGGTCCCAGCTGTGCTTAGGTAAGTGCAAGATGCCAAGTCCCCAGTCCTGTTAAAACTGGACTCATCTATTTATGCTCAAAAGTTGAGCTTTCAGACAGCTCATGAACGGCATCACCATTTGCAGGAAGCTAGGATACTCCAGGCTGGACAGATGCTGAACAAGGGCTTTTCAAAAACACATTTTGGAATTGAGGGTTCCTGCATTTTCCTTTTTTGGTTCTAGCCCTCAGTGTCTTACTAACCTCATGATGTGCATTGACAACATGTTCCAGGACATTGCTCATACCTTTGGCTTGTATGTTCATGCACATTATTTGATTTGCATATTGTTGTATTTGGTTCCCTTCCCAAAGCTAAGAGGTGCTGCACAAGTTCTTGCTTAAGCCTTCAATCCAGACGGGGCTGCTCTGCAAGCATGCAGTTTTGATTTCTCCCCAAGAACATGTTGGCTTTTAGGCTTGGCGTGTTAAATTGTCTTAATGTTAGTAAAGCCTGGAAGCATCTAGATGGTAAAGATTAAGACAAAATGTCCAGAGAAAGCTCAGATCAGCAAAATACGGAGCAGAAAAGGTTTGAGCGGTTTCGAGTAGGCACCTCATCAGCTGATGAAAAGCTCAGTAGAAGCTGGTGAAGCTGCATCAGCTGCAAACTTGATAATTCCCCTGCATGGATTCATTCAATATTTCAGCACTGTCCTAGATCAATCATCTGAAAGGTATCATTGACAAAATGCTTTCTTGGTTTATAGGTGCAAGGTGAGCTCGTGTGGGAGACAGTATAGGAGGTTAAGAGAGGCCTGTTATGAGAATCTTTGTGTCTTCTTAGAATTGCCTCAAGGGTTTGAGAATATCCCTGTTCATTTTAAAAGTGTCATTTTGCTGAATCCAAGAAGCATTCAGTAGTGTTTTCTGAGGTGTTGTGTGGAACTGTCATTTCTAGTGAGTGAAGAAACATACTGAGACCAAAACTGGAGGGGAATCAATTCATTTCCAGTCCCCTTGGTAGGGGCCTTAATTAGGCAAGTGAGCAAAACTTTCTATAGATGTAACGTGCCACATATTAAACAGTGCCTGTAAGTGAGCTTAAGAAAAAGAAGGTGGTCTCAGGATGGAGTGTGAGGACAATGTTTAGTTTATATAGTGTAGTTTGGGAAGTATCTGGCCATCCTGGTATTTTCCTACCTTCAAGCCATCAGAAGCTCTCCTAGCTGAGGAGGAGGAAGTGCTTTACCTGATTCAGGTCCTACCACTAATGATGGAGGCTATAAATAAGTGCGGACATGCATTTTCCATGTTGTAAGAACATAGGTCAAATTCTGTGCATCTGAAGCCAAGACTGCAGCTCAGGATATGGCTACATGATGCATAGCCTGCAAAGTACCATATAGCATATTATGCACACTGCCTGAAAGTCAGGTTTGCACTGTTTTTTCTTTTGCCATGGCCCTATCTTAAGACCTCAGGATGACCTCAGTCAAAACTGCTTGGCTGACCTCAGTGGTCTTGAATCAAGCCTGGTCCTGTCTACACAGGAGTTTATTTCCTAGTATACAAAAACATCTTTGGAGTAGGTCCAAGCAGGACCACAGGAAAAAGGAGAGTTTTTTGGCCTTCTGCCATGCCCTCAAGGGAAGGTGTTCACAGGGCTGATCAAAGCCATGTGTGGTCCCTTCACTGGCCACTATTCATTGATTTCTCTCTTTCACAGCTACCAGGGAATCAGCCTTTGTCCATGCCATTGCCTCTGCTGGAGTGGCTTTTGCGGTGACCAGATCCTGCGCCGAGGGCTCGGCCACCATCTGCGGCTGTGACACCCGCCACAAGGGCTCTCCAGGGGAAGGCTGGAAATGGGGGGGCTGCAGCGAGGACGTGGAGTTTGGGAGCATGGTGTCTCGGGAGTTTGCAGATGCCCGAGAGAACAGACCAGACGCTCGGTCAGCCATGAACAGGCACAACAATGAAGCTGGAAGGACCGTAAGGATATTTAGTTTCATCTTTCTCAGTCTCCCATTAATCTTTTCTTACCTGCCATAATGAACACTGGGAGGGAATTGAGGGGAATAACCAAACATAAATCTGAGCAGTTTTACACCATGAAATGATGTAGTGATAAGAGAAAGGGACATGACTTTAAACTAGAACAGGGTATGTTTAGAATAGATATTATGAAGTTCTTCCCTGTGAGGGTGGTGAGGCCCTGCACAGGTTGCTCAGAGAAACTGTGGCTGCCCCACCCCTGGCAGTGTTCAAGGCCAGGTTGGATGGGGCTTGGAACAACCTGGTCTGGTGGAAGGTGTCCCTGCCCAATGGCAGGGGTTTGGAACTGAATGAGCTTTAAGGTCCATTCTAACCCAAACCATTCTGTTATTCTATGATACCTGTACCATGATAGTTCTTGTCAGGGAGGTGACCAAAGTACCTGATCTATGAAAGCTTTAAGTAAATTCACCCACCTAGATGTAAATGTCTACCTTGGAGTCAGTTGTCCAGACCTCTTTTACAGAAAATGGATGAAGATAGACAGGTATAGGATGTGATTTCATCTCAGCTCGAAGAAGAAATTTGAAATAGCTCAGTTAATGATGCCTGAACTGTGCCCGTTCCCCTCCACTGGAAGGTGGGTTGTACAGCCAAAGATGTCTGTTCTGTAGACATTTGAAGTTAAATGTGATAGACCAAGGTTTATGGGGATGTTTCAGTTGCTTAAACAAATTCATTTTAGTATAAACTGAGATATCCTGAAGTATCCAGCCTTTCCTTGGGCTGCTACTGGGAAAGACTGTGTGTGTCCTGCAGGACCTCTGCCATCTCATGACAGATAGATACCTTAAACACACCTGGAGCTCACAAATGGCACTAGATGCATGTGAACAGCTGTCCTCACACAGGCTAGGACTTTGGTGTGAGCTCCTCAGGTGGATACTGTCAAACCCTGGTGGAGTTACCCCACCTCACACCACAGCAGAGAAGGTCTGAAATAAGGAATTCAACTTTTTAAAATTAAATACCACTAGAAACAAAAAATTGCCTGCAATGTAGGTGACTACAAGCAATGATGTGGTTTCCTCCAGCACTTGCCCAAATTCTCCCAGGTACCCCAAGGTATCGTGCATTGCTGGGATAGATAATGAGACCAATAGGACTGTGGAGAAGGTGGGTAGAGTGGAAAGGAGGGATTTGCCTTTAAGTGAGAGCCCTTGGAAAATCTGAGCTTTGAGCAAACAGCCCTGTGATCACGAGCCTTCAGAAGTCTATTTACTGTAAGTCTTGTTACTTGACACTGAGATACTTTGGGACATTTTACAGATGTCAAAGATTAGAGAGATGTCACACCATTATCTGAAATCCTCCTGTTTTATAAAGCAACGGTGTTTTCCACTCTCAGTGGCAGCACTCACGGGGTAGCTCTTCCAGGCCTCCATACTCAAGCATTTCCAGCTAAACCTGAGCCATAGGCAATGTTTCATATTAGTTCCCATATAAACTCAAACCCTACCACTATGCCAGAAGCTTTGATTAAGTTCAGCATGATTATATGAACCAAACATTTTGTGGTTCTCTCTCATCACTAATTACAACCTCCTTTGCGGCGGGTTATACTCCGTAAATAACACAGGAAAGCACCTGGTGAACACCAAGGTGCTGATTCATGGCAAATCTTTTGGACTCAGGCTGGCACTAGTCTGTTCATGTACCTGGAAATTTGCTGATCAGTCTGAAAACGCAGATTATCAAGTAAGTTGCATAAAGCTGTCTCCCACCTCAGAATACTGGAGGGCAACACCTCTAGAAACCTTCAAACTAATTTCATAAGAGGTAATAGTAAACTTCGGGGATCAATAATCACCTTCCCATTTATTCCAGGACAATGTTTTATGTTGAAGTCTGAATCTTTCAAAATCAAAAGTTGGTCTCCTATTTCCTTTTTAATATGGTTTTATAAAAATCATAAACATGGCTTAAAAATAAAAATGCATTACTTTTCAGGTTTCTGAACACAGCCGCAGCAAGGCTAAAATCTTGTTTGCTTAAGAAAACATCAAACACATAAAGGATGCAATTCTGTGCTAGATGGTTAGGGCATTCCATATTTCTTTAGCTTCCAGTGGAATAGCTGTATTTTTAATTTATGAAGACATTGTTTTAGTAGGTTTGTGTGTTCTTCACTTCTCTGGTAGATGTGTCTGAACTGTGTTCTCAGGTGATCATGCTGCAATATTCGCACATGAACATTGATAAGATAGAAGTTAGTATGAAGAGAAATCTCTCTGGCCCTTAGTGAAAGCACTAATGCTTAAATTTGGGGTGGGAATCAGAGATATTCACAGAGAACAATAAAGCTGCAGAGGTTTTACCTGCCTTTGACCCAGCATCTGTGAAGGGCATCTTCAGGAGAATACAGTGATTTCTGTTCACAAGAGTGTAAATATATCTGTGAAAACACTGCAATTCTTTGGGAAATCCTGGCTAAATAACAGAATGTAATATATGTTTTGATTACAGGCTAATGTTTTCCTTCTTCTTTGCCTTTCCTCTCCTCTTTTTCAGTCTATTATTGAACTCATGCATCTTAAGTGCAAATGTCATGGCCTCTCAGGCAGCTGTGAAGTGAAGACCTGCTGGTGGTCTCAGCCAGACTTCAGGGTCATCGGTGACTACCTCAAGGACAAGTACGACAGCGCTTCTGAAATGGTGGTGGAAAAACATCGAGAATCCCGTGGCTGGGTCGAGACCCTCAGACCCAAATACAACTTTTTCAAGGCTCCAACTGAGAAGGACCTGGTTTACTACGAGAACTCACCAAACTTTTGTGAGCCCAACCCTGAGACAGGCTCCTTTGGAACCCGTGACAGGATCTGTAATGTCACTTCCCATGGGATTGATGGTTGTGACCTTTTGTGCTGCGGCCGTGGGCATAATACAAGGACTGAGAAACGGAAAGAGAAGTGCCACTGTATCTTCCACTGGTGCTGCTACGTTCGCTGCCAGGAGTGCATACGGGTCTATGATGTCCACACGTGCAAATAAAGCAGGCAAAACCCTTACTGGGCTCCAAGTGGAGAAACGGATTTGAGCCTACTTCCTCTGAGGTTGCAGACATGAGAGAAGGCTACTTTTTTGATATTAAAAGAATAAAAACTTTAAAAAAGGCTAAAACTGGTTGGATAGAATAGGTCTAATGACTTCTGGGCTATCCTGAGGTACACCTGGCAGTTACACAAGTTACGCCCCAACAATGCCTCCTGTAGAAGACAGAGGTTTTTCAACCAGCCAACAATACAGAGCTGGAAAGAAGAGCATTAGCAAAGGCATGGATTTGCTCTGCTCTCACCCACCTGAAGTGACTCGTGTGATTAAGTGTCCTTTGAAAGACTTGCATTTTCCTAAGTATCTCCTTTTCCCTCATCCAGACAGAGGCTGTGTTGGACAGCAGCTCCAGGCTTTCTGAGATCTATCTGGCCAAATGGCCAGACTCTGTGTATAATATGAGCAACAACAGCAGCAAAAGAAATAAAAGTAGATAAATTCATAATAAAAAAATAAAATAATGCAAATACTCCTTTGCCCTGGAACCAGAGAAGTCTACAAATATATTATAGAGCTGTAGAGTGGGCAGCCTTTTCACATGAACTTCTTAGCGTAGTAGCTTCTGTCAGATTTGACATAGAATTCAGTGACACCTGTAGAGAGCAGGAGAGGGAGAAGGAGAGGGAAAGAAAGAGAAAAAACTGCCAATGGTTTCCTTCAAATGCCCTGCTGGCACTCAGGTGATGTGCACGGTATGGAAAAGTTCATTGCCTGACTTGTGAAGTGAAAGGGACTCACTATGTGTATTGAGAAGGAGACCACCCCACAGAGATGTTGCTCCAGCTGTTGCCTGGTACATGGTTCAACCAACGAGTCTTTCTTGGAAGCATGCAGTGCAGAGCAAGATCCCTGGGGTTGGACACTCACTGCTGGGCATACGATATCTCCTCAGCATCCCAGCTTGCTCCTGGAGAGGAGGAAAGGGAAAGTGTTCATCCCTTCCACCTCATTAGAAAATGCTGCCACCAAGAATGGAAAGTGCACTTAGTCCATCCTCTCTCTGCACCTCATGAAGGCTTCCCCCTGGGCACTTAGCAAAAGCCTTAGACCACAAATCTGTTGGGAACAAGACTCTGAAGGACTGCTTGTCACCTGCTAATTTACATGATGGTGAGCCAACGCACCACCACTGCACCCCACCAGCTGGAACAGTTTCAGACTTGAGCCAGATTTTGTCCAAACCTAATTTCTACAGCTATTCTCATCTCTAAAAGTGGCACAGACTAAACCGCACAAACCCCGGAGTCTGAAGCAGCCCAGAGTCCGGGCAAGTTTGGACACAGAGACGAATCCCAGCTTTGCAGTTCTGGCTCATCTCTGCTGTTCACCTCTGCCTGCCTGCCTTTGAATGCTGCTCTACTTCTGATTTCAGATCAGGATTGCCAGTTTACAGAAACAGCTCTCGCCTCCTCCATGGTCATCAGGGTTTCCTTCAGCCACGTGGGTATCAGGCATGAATCTCATCCCACCACCTTGGCATTTATAGCACTGTAACTCTCCTTGAGTTATTCCTGGTCAATGCTGGCATATAGAATTGTTACGAACCAAGCAAAAAGTAGTAGCCTGTTTAGCCTCAGATGCACTCGTCCTGCATTCTCTTTGCCTTACCTATACCTTTGGGTTCCTACTTTGGAAAAGGACAATGGATTGGTATTTTTAATTCCTCTTCAATACCAGAAAGGAAATGGGGCATGATCTAACACCCAGTAACCCATAAGAGTCTTTTCATCATGATATTGTAATGACTATTGGCTAGTTCGCACCTGCACATCTATGCAGAGGAATCAGAGAGCTCTGCTCTTACTGCATGCCAGCTTATTCCAGAGAATCAAAGCAGGGAGTATGCAGAGGAGGCAGGAAACAAACAGAGCTTAATCCCATCAGAGAGAAAACAGGAAGAAATTATGCCTCTAAGGGCTGACTCTGAGTCATGGCGTCTCCTGGGACTACTCCTAGGCTGGTGTAGTTTGTGCATCACCCATTTGTCTCAGGGCTGTGCCCAAGGGCACAAGCAAGCTTTGCTTATTGATGGAGGCACTTCTGTCAGTACTCTGCAAAAAAAAAGATAGAATGCAATGAGAGCAGAGATACAGAAAGGAGGGAAGGAGAACAAAAAAGATCAAGAGAGGAAAAGAAAAAAATGGGGAGAAAAACAATCAGTCATATTTGTATATGTAAACATTGAACCCAATGGATGGCCACACTCCAACTGGTAGAAAGTAATAAACCACTAAAAACTGAAAGAAAGATGGAACAACTAATGGATGTATGACTGACTTTTGTAATACAGACTGTGAGAAAAGGAAAACAGAGAACGAAGCCACTGGCGCGTGAAATTGCCACAATAACTAGTATTCAAACACAAGCCGTCAAGAAAGGAAATATGGAAGAAAACCATATATGCAATAGAAGACATGATGAATTAGAAAAAATGGGACAAGGAAAGATTCATCTCATTTACTTAATGTGCTGCAGTGTTCACAGTGAGAGATGTTAGACATGTCCCACCAGGTACTTCTGTCACTAAATGGTTCCCTGACAGTGAAGATGCAAATCATTGCAGGTCACAGTCCTTAACAATCGATTGACTTCAGAAGGGTCACACCCAGCACTAATTTACCCTAATGTTTTTGAGCAAGATGGTTTCAAACTCTTTTATACCATAACAGTGAAGAAATGGGTTGAAGGATTTGGCTCTGAATATGGGAGCTGGACTCTGACTACAGCCCATCCACAGCACGCTAACATCCACTGTTTCTGCTTTTGCACCAGAACCAAGCCCAGCATCACTAGCAGGTGAAGCTCTTTGGGAAGCATGGAGGGAAGAAAAACCAACAAAAACAGACTAGGCATTTGCTGAGCAATTGCCTCTTAATTTAAACAGATTTTGGCTGCAGCGCTGGAATTTCTCTCATCTGTCTATGTCATCTAGTCTAAGCTATTTATCTAGCTTTCTGCTAGGAAAAATGGCAAGAAACAAACAAGGCCAGAAGCTGATTCATTATAGCCTAGAATGGTATCTAAGCTATGTGTGGTAAACTGCCCACTGGGTTCTGTCTTTCCTCTGACTTTAGCTGATGAGCTCATACTAGATGATGAGCTCTTAGATGGGTACAGTCTGATGATGTGAAGTCCACCCTGAGTCAAGGAGGTGAAGCTACAATCTGATCGTCAGCTGAGATGGTCTGGAAGTTGTACTCCTTCATTCAAAGCTGGGGTCAGGCTGTCAGGCTTGAAACAGCAAAATGGTTGGGGACTGCCACCCCGTTCAAGGGATTTTTAATGAAGCCTATGCATAATTGTTAAGTTTTATTATGTAATTAGTCATCCACTGTGATGATACAATGTAAGGGGTTGAGCAGTTGCTACTAAAGTCAATGAAAAATACCTGTGTGAATTTTGTTTATCATCCCAAGTGCATCTGAGGGTCTTAGTCTTTGATCTGGCTCTGCCTACCTATAAGGAGGGAAGAGGGAGAGCCTGCTAGGGGTCTGGGAGCATGCTGAGTGCACATGCTAGGCTTGCATCTGACCCCATGGCTTTGGAGAAAGGACTTGGGACATCACTCCTTAGTACACATGAATTCAGGAAGTGTCATTGGAAAACTAAGATCCCAGTCCACTGCCTACACTAGATGTCTCAAGTCAGGATTGACACTGTATTGGTATGAAAGACTGAGTCAGTGATGAGTGAGGTGCCATTCCTCCCTACATCTCATCATGCCTGCATTGAGTTTCATTTAGGAGATGGTCTAAATTGAACCCAGAGCCACCTTCTGCCTCAGGTTTTTCCATTCTGTGAAAATGATAGGAACTTCTTTATGTAGGGGACTTAGGGTTTCATTCAATAATATCAGCACCTGATGACATTTTAGGTGCCCTACAATATCCTATTGGGATCCAGCATTTGCTTCAATGGCATAGGACTCCTGCAAGTCTTAAACTTGGGCAGATATGTCAAAGACTGTAGGGTGTGCAAAATGACATGAGATGCCTCAGTGTAGACAGTTGAATTGTGCACTTGTCTGGAAATGGTGTTCAGTCAAAACTTCCCCTCCACTTCAGTTGATCTGGGTAATGCACCAGTCTATAGTCAAAAGAACATTAATATCCAACAAATGGGAGCTGACCAACTCAACCTCCATGATCCATGGTGCCCTTCTCTTCAGTCTTCACTTCTTGTGAGGTTTGTCTTCAGGCAGATGGTTTGTATCAGGGATGTGTCTTGCAATACCAGGGAAAAGGGAGAAGATATCATCCAGCCAAGTAACACAGATGAAAAAATACAAATAAAAAAAAAGAATATAACTCCATCTTCCTACATGCTGCTATCCAACTTTTCCTTTAGCTGAATAGATGGGTTTGACAGGGCCCATCAGTTCTACATCCAGCCTTATGAAAGACAGTGGAGCTACCTGCAAGGGGTGAATTTGGATTCATCTCTTTTCTTTCTATGAAAGAAATGGAAAGTTTAGGATTTTTTTTCTTTTGTTTAGTTTTAGAATTAGGGGGCTTCTCTTTCTCAGAGAAAAGAAAAACATGGGGAGGAAAATGCATATTTTCTATTACTTGACCCCCAATGTATCTCTTTTGCCTAAGCGTCATACTTATCACAAAGCATTTTGAAGTCTCCAGAATTTTTCCACTGCTTACGAGGGGCTTTGTGTACAGAACTAAAGCATACAGGATCTGATCTTGGGAGGGGACTGCATAAACAACCACACTTCAAAATGCAACATGGTGCAGAAATCTCTCTGTCAGCACCAACCACATCAGCCCTGCAGAGAGAAGTACTATAGTCTTGGCTGAGCACTGCAAGATTTCTGTATTAACAAACCTGAGAGAGCAATTTCTTCTGCCCCTCCATCTAAAACATTTTTAGAGTTTTCAGTGCATTCGTATCTATTGTCTTAGAGATGTCCAAGGGTTATAGTACATTTGTCATGTGTGTTCACATGCTTGTCATGCCTCTATTCTTAAATTCAAATACAGGAGTAATATTATGAGGTTTGGAGAAACCCTGATCACATTCTTAGCATCAAATAGAGGTTTCAGTCCTGAAAACCTGGGGCTAGGTGTTCTTGGTGATATTCAGGGTTACAGCATGAGCCCTCTGCAGGAGCTAGGAGCTGTGAATCCAGTCTTAGGTTCTGCACTATGAAATTACTCCAGGGTTCCGTTGGTGCCTTAGTGATATTGCTTTGGAAAGATAAGACAGGGCCATGAAAAGGCACCAAATCAAACTGTCCTGCAGACAGCTTGCACATGGTTAAATCGGCTACCCATAGGAAAATGACTCCTGGCTCTTCCAGAGACCTGCTCCAGAGCTGAGGCTGCTGTGAAAGCAACACTATGCTGTCTGTGGCATGGCGAGTGAATGGAATATTTGCTCTGATCTGTCAGTCATGTGCCCAAGCAGCTGCTTGGAGAAGAAGTAGAGAGAGTATTAAATAACGGGAGAGAAGGTGGACTGGGCAGGAGGAGATCTCATCTCTTCTTCATAGCTGTGTATCCTATTTTCTACCTGAATCTTGGCTGGGCAGCAGCAGCGGGACCTGGCTTTCTTTTTTCTGAATTCTTCTCTTCATGCCTTAGCTCCCCCCATTCTTGTTTCCTGCCCTCTCATGTGCTCCAACAGAAGCAACTGATCTGCAGTTCATCACTACACAGCAAGAGAACAGGACCCTCCTGCCTCAGCAGTTAATGGCTGCAAATTGCAGATACTTCCATTTGGTGAGAAACAGAGGCTCCTGTGGCCTTCATTTTGAGAGAGAGGTGTTTAGTCCTCATTCCTGACACTTCAAGTGTCTTTATGGATTTAAGAAGTCATTCTGCTCCCACTTTGGTGCTACCTTGGAGGAGGAGACTTTCTCAAGCACAAACAAGAAGCCAGGAGTAAACTCCCAGGCAGTGTTACCTAGGGTGGGATTCAGAATACAAAGTGAGATGTCTAAATGCAGTTATCTACATGCAAGCTAGATGCTTAAACTCCCATACAATCACAATTGTGGGTTCCATTTGCCTAAACGTAGCATCTAGGGCTGAACTGAATTATTGAAAATAGGTGTCTAGAGCCATTTGGGATGCCTCAGGGTACCCCACTGGCTTCTAGAAGCTACTGTGGAAAAGTGTAGGCTTCCGTTAAGTCCCACAGCATATCTGCTGGCTCCATGCAGATGCTTCAGAAACCCCAGGGCATCTCATATGGCAATAGATGCCTGTGCATGAGCAACTCAGTTGAACTCCTAGTCAATCCCACTCTAGATTCCTAATTCTCATGTCTTTAGAGACTTTAAGATGTAAAACTGTGTATGGGCTCAATTCTGCTGTCACTTGAACTGGTATAAATCAGGAGGCAGCTTTTCCATAACACCAGACTTACAAGTTTATCAAAGAAAGCAGAAGGTGAACCTATTATGTGAGAATAGTTATTTGAATCCAGTTTACTGACTGGTATCTAATGGGTTGGAGCATCTCTCCTCTTCCTGTTGGTGAGCACATAATGAAAATGGACAAGTCCTACCAAGTCAGCTATGGGCAAAAATCCTACTATTATATGAATACCACACAGATACAGAAAGCTCCTGAAGCACAACAGTCACAAGAGTCTTTACCACATAACTTGGTCTCCTCCTCTGTCTCTGTAGACTTTTCTTTTCTTACACATGTTCTGTGGACCAATGGGAGGTCTTGGACAGACCTGCAGGGAAGTGGAAAGCAGGAAGGTGTGAGATGTGTTCCTCATTTTTCTTTCTTTTCCAAGTTTCTTCTTATTATTTATTAGTATTTATTTATTTCTCACCATGCATTCCACCCCACCAAAAATCCTGAAGGCATGCCTGCTACAGACATAGGCTGGCAAGCAGACAGGTATCACCCATGTTTTTGAGGGAAGGCATCATCCTGTCAGAGCTTCTTCCCAACATGTATTTGTCACCCGCTGCTACCACTTGGAAAGCACAAGAGGCCTGAGTCTTTCCAAGGCAGGCCCCCAAAACCTCAAAAATCCTCCTGTGTGTGATGAAATCCTACCCACTGAAACCCAGTGTCCCGCAGGTGTACATTCCTCCAGACCTGGTTACCCCACTGCCCACCTGTCCCTGACTGCAGCTCAGCCTTATGTCTCTTAATCTCAGTATAGACCCACTCAATCTATCTCCTTTGGCATCACTTTCTGTCAATTCCAGGACAAAACCTGCCTGAACAAGACCTGTCATAGGTTTGGGTTATCTGGTGAGCCCACCAGCAGTGTGGAAGACATAGAACACAGACCTGTAGCATCCCAGGGATTCCCCATGGTACAAAATATGCTTGTCCAGGAGTCAAGGACAAGTATCTTCTTCTGGGTGGGTTTTTTCACTATTGCTTTCCCTTCCCACAGACTGTCTGCCTGATTGCATCACCTTCTTCAAAGCTACATCACTGTCTGTAACCCTTCCCCAGCCTGCCCCTGCCCTCGCCCAACCTGAGCACCCCTTTGTACAGATTGCATGTATGATACAACTTGAAATTCCAAAGCTATTGTACAAAGTAGGATTGTCACCTTTTTTTCCCTCAGTATTTTGTTAAGTCTGATGATTTTTTATGATTATTTATTTTATGAATAAATGTATATATTAGTAAGAGTATATATTTGCAAAAATAACTCATCGGGACAGTGTTGTTGCTCTGCTGTTGTGCTTGTGACCTCATTGGCTTTTACCCTATTTTCTACTGACAGCACACTAGCGATGTCTTGTAACTGTTTTTTGTTACCAGTTAAGTTTGATAGATGTGTTAACTTTATAATGAAAATTAAAAAAAAAAAAAAAAGCATTAATTTTAACCTGTGTTTGGGTGTTTATTCCTACCATCCCACAGTTTAATAGGAGAGTATTTCATATCATGGGCTGAAATATAGCTGGGGAGACGGAGGGAAAAACTGTGTCTTCCTCCTGTACGACAGAAGTTATGTGCTTTGGAAGAAGAAATTCCAACTAAGTTGGCACCATTTAACCTATGTCCAGCTAGTAGGTGACACCCAATTATGAGCAAAAGATGTACACCTAAATTGCCACAAGCCCATTTCTCAGCTGAGCATCACCAGGACAGGGACACAATTTTCCTCCAGGAGCCCAGCTGCAATGTAAAGGAAAGGTGGTCAAAAGCCATGCATCTTGCTGCAAACATGGGGAGGACAAAGACCAACCACACAGCTATTCATAGCCTAGACCTGGTACATGGTGAGCTGCTGCCACCTTGGCCTGTGACTGCTATACGTTCTCTGAAGCAGTAAAAGCCTGTCACAAGCAAGTGACACATCACTTTGCACAACATTGCTAGAAGGCTCTAAGAAATTTCGTGTCGGTTTTGCCATTTCCTGACATTTTCTTCCTCTATTAGTACATTAGGTTGGGAGCCTGCTGCACATCATAGTCATGCAACCACTAAGGCTGTAATCAGGCTGCAAAAATGAATAGATTGCAAGATATAATTAGTGGAAGACACTGCTGATAGGTGAGATGGGGAGTCCATGTTGGAACCTATTTGGAACCATGTCTGGCCTTCTATTGCACCTACCGTAGCTAGCATGGACTGCATACAGAGAAATCTGCTCCCAGAAGAAATCCTGTAACAGCTTTTCCCATTCCTCTGTCCTTAGCAAGGAAAGGCATCCTCATGAAATGGGCTCATTTGGTTCAGAAAGCAGCACAGCTTCTCTACAGCACTTTCAGTTTGGATTTGCTGCAGAGGGGATGGGTTGGTTGCAGAGGTGATGGGTTTGCTGCAGAAGGAGACAGCTGTGGACAGGCAGGGCAGCATTTCCAGGGACTCTGCCTATTCACCTCCCACCCCGTTCATACAAGCAGAAACAGCTCAGATCCCACAGGTCTTCTTGTGGCCTTCACCATTCACTTTGGAGAGATTCAAGCCACCCAGTGTTATCCTTCATGGACCAGGTATCTCCTCTAAACTCATCCTTGATGACTCCTTTATCCAGTGGAGGGATTTTAGCAGTCCAGAGATTTATCCTACTTGCTTAAAACATAGACCTTAATTGGTATAAATACTCTTCAGAGACATCTGTTTTCCTACACAGACTGTAAATGAACATATTGATAAACAAAAAACAAAAGCACCTTTCCTATGAGAAGGGTCTGGGAAGCAAGCAGCATACTGTAATGTCCCAGAAAAAATATCCCCTAACCCCTGCAAACACACAGCCGTGCCTTGGTTTGAATGACACAGGTCAAACACCACAGAGAGCTTTCAGCATACCGGACCCAACATATTTTCCAGAAAAAAATTATAAACATTCTTATTAGAGAGCACTTGAGATAAATTTATTTGTTAAGCTGTGTTGCCTGCTTCACCAGGTTTGAGCAAGAGACTTTCTTTTCTCACTTAAATAGGAAAAACTAAGAAATGAGTGGACATCTCACTTTTACCTTATACATGCTATTAACCCCCACAGACCCTTTTATGAAATAAAGAAAATCTGGTGTTGATAACTCATTTCTGTCCCATGACCT